CTCCATATGGTCCTATTTGGTCATGGAATGATTTGTGGTGGATTTTCCTCCACTCTTCAGCATTCCCTCCATAACCTGTGTCTGACCATGAGCTACATGCTATTTACGCAGAAAAGATATGATCCTGAACTGGGTGGAAGGCTTCTGCCCAAGTGCATGGACACCAAAATGTGTGCTGAGGGAAGTCACACATGATCTTCTCAAGCAGCTTTTGACTTCCCTCAGGATCATAGATGGCTGTGTTCATAAGTAATTATTGCCAACATCCCCTATCTTCTGACTATGAAGGTGAAAACATGTGCTTTGTGTAGAGTTGGGTGAGACCCTTGTTTCTGATTTCTAAACACCTACTGCTTTGAGGAAGCTTCCATCATCCTAACTGTTGTCCAGGCAGAGGTTGAGAGGGAAAGGTTTGGAGGGCTAACAGGCAAATCTTTCTCAGTTCAATGGCTTCCTTGCTATAAGCCAAGTTGGCAGAGCTTTATTAAGGAGTGTTACTGTGGCTTCCTTCAAACTTGATGCATCAATTGGATGGACCCTTATGCAGGGCTCTTCCTCACTTGGCTACAACTATGGCTCAACTCTCAAACAAAGCAGATGTTTATAAATAACTGGACATAGGTATTTATTTATTTATTTATTTGAGATGGAGTCTAACTCTGTTGCCCAGGCTGGAGTGCAGTGGTGTGATCTTGGCTCACTGCAACCTCCACTTCCCAGATTCAAGTGATTCTCCTCCCTCAGCCTCCTGAGTAGCTGGGATTACAGGCACCTGCCACCATGCCCAGCTGATTTTTTTTTTTTTTTTGAGATGGAGTTTCACTCTTCTTGCTAAGGCTGCAGTGCAATGGCTCGATTTCAGTCCACCAATACCTCTGTCTCCTGGGTTCAAGTGAGTCCCCTGCCTCAGCCTCCTGAGTAGCTGGGATTACAGGCATGTGCCACCATGCCCGGCTATTTTTTTGGTGTGTTTTTAGTAGAGATGGGATTTCTCTATGTTGATCAGTTTGGTCTCGAACTCCCGACCTCAGGTGATCTACCCGCCTTGGCCTCCCAAAGTGCTGGGATTACAGGCGTGAGCCACCGCGCCCAACCTAATTTTTTGTATTTTTAATAAAGACAGGGTTTCATCATGTTGGCCAGGCTGATGTCGAACTCCTGACCTCAGGTGATCTGCCCAACTCAGCCTCCCAAAGTGCTGGGATTACAGGTGTGAGCCACCGTGCCCGGCCTGGAGGTAGCTCTTTAAATCAAACACTCAGCAAATAATTGACTTCTCTGCAGGCCCTTTCTTTTGCTGAAGCATAACCATAGCATCAAGAGGCTTCCAAACTGGTGAAAATCATGCAAGGGATGGGATGAGAAATGGCAGAGATCAGTTGATGGTTCCGAGACACTCTGACTTCCACAAAACCTCAGCAGCTTCTAGGTCTCTAATATGCTTTTGTGTATGTTTGTGAGAGAAATACCGAGATTTCCCATCACAATGTGTTTGATTTCCTTGCTCTTCTCTCCATCTTGGCAGCTTGTATACATCAGGGCAAATCTACATATGACTTAATGATTTATCTGCAACTTGAGTCAAGAGTTTTGCTCATTTGCAGAAACATAAATTATCTCCAAACCATGTTTTGAGGCTGCATGTAACCAAATTTTAAAAATGAAAACTTATTTTAACTAAGTGGTGAGCAGGAGTTGCTTTAGTAGCTAATGTGTACCGAGTACCTGCCATGGCACTTTACATCTATTCTCTTTGATCCTTACAATCTCAGCAGGTCACCATTTCCTTGACTTACGCAAGGAAACTAAGGCTTAAAAGATGAAACCACCTACCTACTAGATATGAAGCTAGTGTTTGGCACCTGGACAGTCTAATTCTAGAACCCAAACTCTGAATCATTACCTTCTGATGCCCTAGAAAGTTTGAATCAATCTTTCCGTTGCTGGGTTTTCTGGTAAAAACTGGAAAATTCCAAAAGAAAAGATTCTGATATTTGAATCAATTTTAGTCCAGCCAATTTCTTTCCCGTAAACTACCAAGTACAAGACTATTTCACCTGGTTTTAGTTCTTGGTAAATATATTTTTTAAAATTTCTATGGCACTTCCGCTTCTGCCGAGGTGGTGCCAGAGCCACAGTCATGAGTTGCTTCAAGTTTATCGGTAAGAAGAGCATTTTCCCTAGTCACTGGGTCTTTCTGATCGGTCCAGGGCGTCGCTCACCAAAGCCACAGGGCCCAGGACTTGTGCTCTCTGCCTTTGTAACGGTTGAAACGGCCACTCAGTGGAAGAGGGCGCGGGAAGGTTTCTGGGTGCTGGTAATGTTCTGGTTCTTGATCTAAATCCTGGATTCATGAGTATTTATTTGTGAAAATTAATCCATACAGTTATGATTTTTGTGCTCTTAAAAAAAAAAAAACGTTCTATGAATGGAACATAGCAGAAACTGGAGAAACTGCCTACAGGAGCTATCCTGGGCTGTCTTGTCCTATATTGTCTTAAGAGTTGGCCGGGCACATTGGCTCATGCCTGTAATCCCAGCACTTTGGGAGGCCGAGGCAGGTGGATTGCTTGAGCAGGAGTTCGAGATCAGCCTGGGCAACACAGAGGGACCCCATCTCTACAGAAAATACAAAAAGTAGCTGGGTATTGTGGCATGAGCCTGTGGTCCCAGCTACTTGGGAGGCGGAGATGGGAAACTTGTTTGAACCTGGGAGGTTGAGGCTTCAGTGAGCAGTGATGGCACCACTGCACTCCAGCCTGGGCGAGAGCCAGATCTTGTCAAAAAACAACATAACAACAACAAAAAACATACTCCTCAGCCACAAGGTTCTGTGGGAAAGTCAGGATAGGACCCTACAAGTAACCAAGGTCCAGCCCAGTCCTGGCCCCCTCCTTCCCTCTGCACTGCAGTGCTTAGAACAGCCTCCTAGGGGTGAGCCCTGACGCCTCAGCACTCCTCTCCTTCTCAGCTCCCTGTTCATAGACACATTTTCTGAAAGACCTGGAGCATGCAAATTCTACCAGGCATGTTAAGCTAGATACTTTTAAGTGAGGTAGGGAAGGTGGACAGTGAATATGGCTCCTTTAGGGGTTTCTTTGTCCCCTGCCGCTTTAAAATCTTCCGGAGAGTGTCGTCAAGAGGGCATATGGTTAACTATGAGCCAGGTGAATTTAGGAAACCGCTTTCCTTAGGTTGGTAAGCCAGGGTGCGAAGATGTGGTATTTCCTTGTAAGACCTTTTAAATTTCAATACAATGTGGGATAGTATGTCAGTAATCCAAGAGGGTTGCTCAGAAGAGACCCAAACTAAGACAAAGTTAAATTTCAGGAAATACAGTGTGTATGATGACATTTCTTTTTCCCACTTCAGCTTTATGTAGGTTTCCATTTTTGAGTCTATCAAATTGTTCTGGCTTTTTTTTCTTTTTATAGCTGTAGAAGGAATGGGAAAAACAGAAATGGTATTAACAAGCAATTCATCGAAAATTAGGTTCTGGGGCCGGGCACGGTGGCTCACGCCTGTAATCCCAGCACTTTGGGAGGCTGAGGCAGGCAGATCACGGGGTCAGGAGATCGAGACCATCCTGGCTAACACGGTGAAACCCCGTCTCTACTAAAAAATACAAAACATTAGCCGGGCATGGTGGCAGGCTCCTATAGTCCCAGCTACTCAGGAGGCTGAGGCAGAATGGCGTGAGCTCCCATGAGGTGGAGCTTGCAGTGAGGTGAGCCGAGATCACGCCACTGCACTCCAGCCTGGGCGACAGAGCGAGACTCCGTCTCAAAAAAAAAAAAAACCACCAAAAAATACAAAAACAAAAAACATTACCTTCCAGATTGGTATGGTGGCTCATGCCTGTAATCCCAGCACTTTCGGGGGCCACGTTGGGCGGATTATGGTCAGGAGCTCGAGACCAGCCTGGCCAATATAGTGAAACCCCATCTCTACTAAAAATACAAAAATCAGCTGGGTGGGTGTGGTGGTGCACACCTGTAGTCTCAGCTACTCGGGAGGCTGAGGCAGAAGAACCACTTGAAGCCGAGAGGCAGAGGTTGCAGTGAGCCGAGATCGTGCCACTGCACTCCAGCCTAGGCGACACTGTGAGATTCTGTCTCAAAAAAAAAAAAAAAAAAAGAGGTTCTTGGCCAGGGATAGTGGTTCATGCCTGTAATCCCAGCACTTTGGGAGGCCAAAGTAAAAAGATCACTTGGGGCCAGAAGTTCAAGACCAACCTGACCAACACGGTAAGACTCCATCTCTAAAAATTAAAAAAAAATTAAAAAGGTTCTAGGTAATCCTTTGTATATTCTCAATTCTTAACACTAAAGAGTTGTGTTATCCCTTGATACAGATTAAGGCCTCAAGGTTTAGATAAGTTCACAAAGTTTGTAAATAAGGTAAACTTTAAATCCACACCTGAACTTAAATTTGCCTTTAGACAACACTGCCTCAAGTTCATGTGGAAACAGGCTAAAAGTTTTATCCTATGAAGTATGCAATTGTAGATTCTAAATACTAATCAAAGGATGGAATGAATACCATCAGAGGAGTCAGTGGCTCCAGAATAGCACCCATGTGTTAAAAATGTTTTCCTTAGGCCGGGCGCGGTGGCTCAAGCCTGTAATCCCAGCACTTTGGGAGGCCGAGACGGGCGGATCACAAGGTCAGGAGATCGAGACCATCCTGGCTAACACGGCGAAACCCCGTCTCTACTAAAAACACAAAAAAAATTAGCCGGGCGAGGTGGCGGCGCCTGTGGTCCCAGCTACTTGGGAGGCTGAGGCAGGAGAATGGCGGGAACCCAGGAGGCGGAGCTTGCAGTGAGCTGAGATCTGGCCACTGCACTCCAGCCTGGGCGACAGAGCGAGACTCCGTCTCAAAAAAAAAAAAAAAAAAAAGTTTTCCTTATGTCAGAGTAAACCTGAATGGGCAATCAATCTTAAGTTATAACTGAGGTACAGAGGGGTATTTTATCTAGAGAAAAACACAAGACCAGGTTTATTTCATACAATGTTATTCACACATTTTTCATTTTCTAATTTATACATAATATACAAAGAAGTGAAGTTAACATTATTTCATATGAACCAATAAGAGCCAGGACTTAGACAAACTGGTCCAGAAACAATCCCTATCAAAAGGAGACACTCAAGAGTAAGCCTAGGTAGTTTCTGCCCAATTGTTTCTTTATTCTGAAATGTGATTTTCAGATTTTAACAAAATTTCATGCGAACTTACTAAAAGGTAAAAATTGGGGTGGGCACCCAAAATGGCAGACTGTAAAATTTCTACAAGAAAGGTATTTTTGTAGAGCAGGCCTGAAAGTACTGGGAAGATTGGGTTGTCAGCACTGGGACACATGGGAATATCAGGACCCTAAGGAGAGGGTTTAGTTTCTCAATGTAGTATCTCTACTTGTCATTTCCTAAAATTGCAGATAATGCCTGTGCCAACAGAGGGCGAGGATGAAGGAAGACTAAGAATTCAACTGTACAAAGACAGGAAAACCATTACCAATCTCCAACATGACAGCTTTGATCCTGAAACCATGGGCTGATACTGAGAACAAAAGTTCGACATGGGCTGAAATACTCTGAGGTTGGTAATGTAGGAAAAAGTGAGAGAGTGGCTTTGTGTGGGTTTAAAAAATATGAAACACACACAAGGCGTTGCTGCAGTGACTGGGACAGGCTGATGACCCAGTGTGACCATGAGAAGGAACGGAGACAAGTGTTTGGATTTAATGGCCTCACCAAGGAATGTTGGGTTAGAAAACTAAAATAACTAAACACCAAACATGAAAAAGTATGCCTGGCATCCCCAAACTTTATGCCATTATTTTTAGGTTCATAATATGAATAACTAAGTGATAAAACCTTTAGATTCCATATTGTGCTCAGAAGATTGCTTTTCTTCTGCAGATCTCTAGTAAAAAAGATTTCTTCCATATTCAGCTGACAGAGATAGCATGTTCATTTTAGTTTTCAGCACTAAACATAACTGGGTCAACATAAATGTTTATACAAAATACTGACTTCAACAAAATACAAAGCACTTTCTTTATCTTTCAGAAACTGAATATACACAGCAAGTTTTTTTCCAAAATATTTTCATAGGCAAAGGATTAAAAACGATTTTAATTATACACATATGGTCACAATTTTGCCTTAAAAAGATTGTTGGGAAATGTACATAAGGCCGCTTGTAAATGTACATCGTGTTACTGTTATGTCTTATGTCCAGAGAAAAAAATGTTATCATACAGATTTGCTCTTACTTGGGAGTAGGCTATTCAAAAATACAGTACTCTTCTGTACAAAGAAAAAAGTCACATCACATTTAATAAGATGAAAAAAGCATTGGCCTCCATGGTAACCAAATATCTCAGTCCAATACTTTCTATTATGCACAATACCCTGACTTCAATTGAAAGTGATCCAAATTCTAGCATGTCCATATTAACAGTCAACAACTATGTTATAAAACAAAATGATCTCACAATAATAAAAAGAAAGCTGGTTCATACTTCTGAAACCATATAAAGATAAAAAATTTTTAAAAAATCACTCTCGATTTGGAGAAATAAATTTACATTATACAACACTATATTGCCAGGTCAAAGAGGGCAGGGACGTAAATGTACACTAAAATGCAAATGTATCCCAAAGAGATAAAACAAATTCCATTTACAGCATGAAGGTTTACAAATGTACACCTGTACAACCAAGGAAAGCATCACTACTAAATTAGCAAGGCTTTTATAATAAACATTGAAACAAGATTTCCTTTCAAAGTGTAAACTTACATCTATTACTACACACACAATGCATATATTTATAGAAAGCAAAAAGAGCTATCTGAATATGTAATCATGCTTAAATGCTGAGCTATCAAATTCACTTTTCAGTGGCCCCTTTTCATCTCTATCTGGTTCCTACTTTCTGCCTCTATGAAAAAGCAAAATAAAGCTCAACACTTCCTCAACAAGTCTGTAATTCTATAAGCAAAACAAAATACAAATTTCCACTCTTTCTCATTGCAAACCAAACTGAAAAGTTAATAAGTGACTTAACTTTTCATTTAGTGCACTAAATTGGAAATGTCACCATGATTTTGTATTTCTTAACTCTTACAACAATTACATATGTAAGTATATACAATATTTCTGTACATTGCCAGAGACATTTTAGGGCAGTAATTGTATTAAAACCACATCTACTGTAAATAATGTTAAGTTCTTTTCATCTCAAACCACTTTATTCTTGTCTTACTTGCTCGTTATTTGCATGATAGTTTGTGAATTATCAAAATACAACTTAACTTTTTAAAATATTAATAATATTTATGCAGTTGATTGTTAATCTGTTATAAAAGGTTTCACGCAAAGGAAAAAAATAAGGACTATAATTCTATATACATCTCTATAAACCTGTTGTGCTATGGGGTTGTAGACCTACCAGACTGTGAGCCAGTTTATTAAAAGAATACTGTACTTTTTCCTTTAAAAACTATTTTTGTGACTTTACAAGGTAAAAATTTACAAAATATGTGACAGCTTTTTATTTTTGATACAGTTACATCATATACAGGCATTCTGTGCTTTGCCAGCAATCCAATCTGATAGGTCTCCACTCAGGGCTGAATATAATTTATAATTCATCCCCCACCCCCCAAATATACACAAGAACCTTAAAAAATTTACAAATGGATGAATAAAGTCAATAAATAGTTTTGCTTTAAAAAAAAAATTGAAGATTCATAGTTGAGTTGTGTTTTGATAATTCACACACAAAAAAATTCTTTTCACATGGTTAAATTATCTTCTTTCTCGTGCTCCTGTAATTTACAGCATTCCATTTGGTGGTCCTCCAATAGGTCCTAGGTCCGGGCTATTCTTCAAATAATACTTTTCCAACTTGGCCAATATATGCTTCCCATATGTGTATTTGCGCAAAGTAGTAATGTGAGGTCGAATCTGAAAAACAAATAATCTGCTTAGAAAATGTAAGTCATTTTACTTTCTGATTTCTTAAAAAAAGCACCCCCAATTTTGGGTAATTTAGAGGAATAATTGCAATTAAAAAAAATTTAAATCCAAAGAAAGCCACTTTTTGCAAAAGCAGTTGTGATCCGCTCAATCCCTCCAAACATCTGTTCTCAAAATTGTTCAATGAATAAAACACTACATCTAACTATGTCACATGGAAACAAGCAGAGGCCCCAAATATAGCAAGTTACCCCGTAATTCCACAACCAGGAATTTATTCTACCAAAACAATTACAAAAAGACTTTTGTACAAAGCACTACTGATAACAATTAAACAATTAGGGACAATCCAAATATAATAAATATGATACCAGTCAAATAAATAATGTAGCTGTTAAAAATAAGATTGCAATTTTTTATATTCATTAGTTTACAGCAGAAACACTGAATTAAAAGATAGGTAGACACTTAGAGGCCAGTACTTTGGGAGGATAAGGTGGGAGGATCACCTGAGCCCAGGACTTTGAGACCAAACTGGGCAACACAGTGAGACCCCATCTCTACAAAATATAAACAGAACTATGAGCGTGCATGCCTGTAGTCTCAGTTACTAAGGAGACTAAAGTGGGAGGATGGCTTGAGGCAGGAGGCTGAGGCTAGAGTCAGCCGAGATCACACCACTGTCCTCCAGCCTGTGCAATAGACACCCTGTCTTGAAAGAACAGAAGAAAAAGAAAGGAAAACTTACATCAAGTTGAAGAATGAATTTTAAAAATCAGAAGGCCAAAACACTTTTATAGATGGAAGGAATCCTAAGATATCATTTTTCTCTCTATATGAGGAGAGGATCAAAGGGGTTATGTAATTCGCTCCATGTTTTGTAAATGAATACATTAAGATCAAGAGTATTCAAAATAAGTGTTTCTTTCAGTGTTCTTTGTAACAATGTTTTCCTGCTGCAATTACTAATTTCTTAAAAAATTACTAGATTCTAGGAGGAAGATACAGAGAGGAAACAGCTTAAAGGGAAACAATTATGAGTTAGTGCTACCCCCCACAACATAAACACAAAATTCTACTTGCACTGGCATGAACACAGACCACCGTAGCCTCAACCTCCAGGACTCAGGCCATCCTCCCATCTCAGCTGCCTGAGTAGCTGGGACCACAGGCATGTTTATCATTATACTCAGCTAATTTTTAAATTTTTTGTAGAGATGGGGGTCTGTTGCCCAGACTGGTCTTGAACTCCTGGGCTCAAGCGATCTCTCACCACAGGCTCCCAAGTAGCTAGGACTAAAGGCTTGCACCATGACGCTTGTCTAACTTTTTTTTTTTTTTTTTAAGAGGCAGGATCTTGCCACGTTGCTCAGGCTGGTCTCGAATTCCTAGACTCAAGTGATCTTGTCACCTCAGCCTCCCAATCTGCTGGAATTACAGGCAAAAGCCACCATGCCTGGCGTGATAACCTTAAGAATAAAAATGGAAACCATACCAATATATCTGCCAAAAGATATCCATCAATTTTAATTTTTTCCTCCAGTTACAAAATACAGGAGGAAATGAAAGCCCAAGGAGGTTAAATGTGTAGCCTAAACATAAAGACAAAGAAAGTTATCTGAGTGTTATATCCGATTATTACCTTGTGCATGATTATCTTTCTTTGAGCAGGTTCAGCCATATCAATCATCTTTTGAACCACATAATTGGCATACTGGTCCTTCATCATGGTGTATAAGGCACTGTGAGGACCATCATTCTGGCAGCAAACCTCGTCAATCAGTAAAGCTCTCTCAGCACGGGAGGCATGAGTAACACACTTTTCTACTACATTGCTAAAAATTAAAGCAGATAAACAAAGCTTTGTTATTTTTTTCTGTACAGCAAAATTTCCTTGACTTTTGAAAGAATTTTCTCCAATGCACGATAAAACGGAAGTCAGGATGGGATTCTCTTGTCTTATGATTACTTTTATTTTATTTTGTTCTTTTTTTTGAGACAGGGTCTTGTTCTGTCACCCAGGCTGGAGTGCAGTGATGCTATCACCGCTCACTGCAGCCTTGACCTCCCTTGCTCAAGTGATTCTCCCACCTCAGTTTCCCTCACAGCTGAGACTACAGGCATGTGCCACCATGCCTGGATAATTTTTTGTAGAGAAAGGATTTCCTTCTATGTTGCCCAGGATGATCTCAAATTCCTGGGCTCAAGTGATCCTCCTGCCTCTATCTCCCAAAGTGCTGGCTGGGATTTACACGTGTGAGACACTGCACCCCGCCAACTACTTTTATAACAGAAATTGGTATCACGGAACGACCTACATAATTTTGACATCCACAAGTTTAATTATGGGTCTCTTAAAATTGTACTTCAAAAAAAGGAAACCAGATCATTAAAGCTGTGAGGTTTTCAAGAACATATACTAAATAAATCTGCATTTCCAGTGTTGGGAAAAATTATTTTCCAAATACAGATTTCAAAAATGAACATACATGGGCAAAACAAATTTGTTACTTTTTTTTTTTAAATAAAAGCAATGTTCTATAGATGCATTTTAGTGACACCAAAAAAAAAAAAAAAAAAAAAGACTATAGTTTAATGCTACGCTCTACATGTATTTCTGTGATAACTAATAAAAGTCAATGAACTGAAAGAATTGACCCCTGAAATTACAACGTATCCCAATACCTGGCAAATTTGTGTTGACTCAGGGCTAAAACCTTTCCTCTGATTTCGGAAACAATTTTGCTCTTGTCTTCAGGTCGACCGTGTTCCAGTACATGCTGAATAACATAATTGCCATACTGATCCTAAGACAGATATTTAAAAATTACTTTCCCCAAGTCATTCCTTAAGAATGATTATTCTTTAAAGACATGTTAACCATTTCGTCTAAAAATCCAGTAGTATAGTTAGGAGAATACAACCGGCTTTTGTCTCACTCTTTCTATAGTGTGTTTAATAACAAACTATATTTCTTTTAAAAATTAAAACAAGTTCCAAAAATATATAAACATTTCAAATTATTAGGTAATGTATACCTGTACCAACTGCTCTGTATGTTGGTGGAGTTCTTCTAAGATAGGTAAGGTCTGTTCTGCAGTGCAATGTTCTAGGATGCGCTGAATTACCCTACAGCCATAAGGATGAGTTGAAAGCACAAATACCTGAGGACAATTAGAAGAATTAAAATTTGTATTCTCTGACATTTTTGCACAGTTCTATGAAGCAGACTGTTTTTTTCTTTTTGACACCTCAAAGTAATGTAAAACAGAAGGGTGATGAACTCATATTTAATATGACTACCACCATGTTAGCAAAGACTGGAGAGTGGGGACAGGGAGCACCCCATTTAGGAGCTGAAGATATTTTGATCAAAAGGAATCTAATCAGAACTTTACCTGAACCTGAGTTTATGTAACAATGGGAATGAATGGGTGAAAAGAGAAAGGGTAGTTTGGCATTAAGAAATATTAATTACTAGGGTATTAGTTACAAATTGCTGTATGTTTTCTGTCTTATTATACAGTCTTAAGTCTTTCTCCAAACCTCCTTCCCTTCTCTGAGTAAACCTGATAACACTGTTGGGTATAAATAAAAAATAATTCTAACAGTGATTACTTTTACTTCTTGAAGTAATGTGATTAAACTCTTATTTCTGTTTTGTAGCTTCAGAAAAATGAAGCTATCTACTCACTATGAAAGAGGAAGACATTAACGTACATTTACTGTTTTGTATCCTATTTTTGTACACAAGTGCTGGGTATTATCTAGTGACTTACAAAAAATGTGTTGATACTCAAAATTCTAAAATAATGCCCTGCTAACAAATTATAAGCCAAAACTCAAACATACTTGTCCTTTGAAAGCATCAATGATGAACTGCAGTGACTGTGGCTGAACACATTCGATACATTTTTGTACAACATGGTTTCCATTCTGATCTTTCACACATTTGAGCACATGACCATCCAGCTCCTTTACCATTTCACTCTGCAAAAGACAGGATGTTATTTAAATAATTACCTAAAACGAGAAAATACTAGTATATTTTATCTCAGTATTAAAAAAAATATTAAAAATAGTATATTTATCTCAGTATTAAAAATACTGAGATGGGAACAAAAATATATTTAAACATTATTTCCTGTTTGTCATGAGTTTAAATATTTTTCTCTTGCAGTATAATTAGCAGAAACCATTGAAAAGTGAAAATTACTAAAACATACTGCAGGATTACAATGTAAATGATCTACGTTGAAACAACGTAGTGATGCTGAATTTGCTGTATTTAAACTGTCTTCACCGTGTAAATCATCTGTTAGTATTTATCGGTGGTAACTAACATGACTAATCTAGAATTCTACACTTCTGCCTTACTTAGTACCACCTCCACCACCAAGGCAATTATTTTTAATGGCTGAGTGAGTTTATCAAATACATAGAAAAGGGTAAGAAGTTGATGACTACTTACGGGCTATGTGATTTTTACATAGTACCTCAATAATTCCCTAAGGGAAGAATTAATGTCAGACTTCTTTGTTCTTTTATAAAATGCTGTTACAATAAAGTGCTTAGGGGCAGGTGAGGTGGCTCACACCTGTAATCCCAGCATTTTGGGAGCCTGAGGCTGGTGCATCACCTGAGCTCAGGAGTCTGAGACCAGTCGTGCGACATGGTCCCGGCCACTACCAAAAATACAAAAAACTAGCTAGGTGTGGTGGCGCATGACTGTGGTCCCAGCTACTTGGGCGGCTGAGGTGGGAATTCCTTGAGCCTGGGAGGCAGAGGTTGCAGTGAGTTGAGACTGTGCCACTGCACTCCAACCTAGATGACACAGTGTGACTCCATCCCAAAAACAAAACAAAAAAACTGTAAAACTTCATATAGCTTTTAATATTGATAAAATAATCTGTGTGCCTTATTAGAGCAATAAAAAATAGTACTGTGGAGAAATGGAGTACACATACTCAGTCTAAAGGTATTCACATTTAAAATATCTTTCACCCACAGGACTTTCAACTACATTTTGAAGCAACTGCGGTGAATCCTGTTAAGTCAAGCTATAATACAGATGTTTAATTACGAACTAAAATCACTGGGTGCGATAGCTCATGCCTGTAATTCCAGTCCTTTGGGAGGCTGAGGTGGGTGGATCACTTGAGGCCAGGAGTTCAAGACCAGCCTCGCCTTCATGGCGAAACCCCATCTCTATTAAAAAAATACAAAAATTAGTCAGGTGTGGTGGCGCACGCCTGTGGTCCCAGCTACTCGGGAGGCTGAGGCACGAGAATCAATTGAATCCAGGAGGCAGAAGTTCCAGTGAGCCGAGGTCGTGCCACTGTACTCCAGCCTGGGTGATAGAGTGAGAGACTGTCTCAAAACAAAACAAAACAAAAAAGCCTAAAATGGACTAAATTACAAAATAAAACATGCTTAAGAATCCAAAGGCTGGCAAGGTGGCTCATGCCTGTAATCCCAGCACTTTGGGAGGCCAAGGTGGGTGGATCACAAGGTCAGGAGTTCAAGACTAGGCTGGGCCAACATGGTGAAACCTCCTCTCTACTAAAAATACAAAAATTAGCTAGGTGTGGTAGCGCGTGTCTGTAATACCAGCTACTTGGGAGGCTGAGGCAAGAGAATCGCTTGAACCTGGGAGGTGGAGGTTGTAGCGAGCCAAGATTGCGCCACTGTACTCCAGCCTGGGAGACAGAGCGAGACTCCATCTCAAGGGGAAAGAAAAAAAAAAAGGAATCCAAATACTGTTATTCATTAACTGTATCAACAAAGACTTACTCCTAATGCTTTTATTTTTAAATATCAGACATTTAAAAAATATCTATGCCAATTAGAAACTTGTGGCAGAAGTTTCTAAGCTTTTAAATAATTAAATGTGTTTATATTTCTCCATTGTCACATACCTTAAAATTACTGTAAAACTCAGAATTTCCTTTGGAGGAATAATAGTATTTTCTCACAGATTTTAATGCAGTGATGAATATATACACATATATAGCCATCCATCCATATATTACTATTTATTGAAATTTACTTTTATTGTATGAGTCAAAGACAATCTCTTTCCAAACTTAAACTACCATTATCTTTTAAGAAATAATTATTTCCTTCAGTCTTATGCTTTCATTGTAATAAATAAAGCATATAGTCAGAAAACTGTACTGATTTGGGGCTATAAATTTCTTATTAAAAGTCTGTTTAATCTTATACAATAACCCCATTAATTAGTGTTGCTTCACAGTGTATTTTAAAAATATGGTGGATCAGCATTTATCTTCATCCCCTACTCTCAATATTCTTGTCTATTTCAAATGATTTAAAGCATTATTTTGATCAATAATTCCTTTATTAATGTAAAATATTTAGACTTTCCATCCAATAACACAGAATATTTCTCATTTAATTTATGTATTCTCGTTTTTCTCAAAAAATTATACCTTTTTAAAGAGAATTCTTAAGTTACTTTTTTGCTGGGCTATATATTTACTTAAAAAAATTTTCATATATATAAATAAAACTGACATATAGTAATGCTATTGGTTTCAAAAATTTTCTTATAATAGAAACATTAGACACCATCAAAATAAACACTGGAAAATAATAACATGCATTCTCACATTGCAGAAAATCAAGCAAGCAAGTAGTAATAAAAACACTCATCATTTAACATTCTGCTTGCCACACAGGTGCTAAAATATCTTCATTTAGAAATTATCTACTTTGTGACTTCTAATTAGTAGTGTGCTATTTAGGACACAGTAACAATATTTTAGTCTAGTTGTGGAAATATTTAAGTCATTTTACTTCAAGATTATTGTAAGATTAAAAATGTAATAATTTAAAAATTGAATAAAATAATACAAAAATTTTGTCTTAACTTACAATTACCTGCTGGTCAGAAGAAATAGATTCTAATGCTTTCTGAATAACGCGGCAGCCATACATCTGCAAGGCTAAGGGTAGAACATGACCACGAATACGAGTAGCCAGGGCTAGTTTTTGATCCAGACTCCCAAACTGACAGAAAAGATATAACATTAATAACAAGTGACCTTAATATTGCTTTGTTGAACTTGAGTAAGGCAGTGTTTGCAGTCTATTCAATCTATTAGTAATTATGCAGGGCAGGGGCTTTAAGGTAGAAGCTAATTAAGATAGACCAGGAGATGTTTGCAATAATAATTTTATTACTTTTTTGGGTTAAGTCTTACTACAATTTCCTTATTACTAATATGTTAACTACCTTTTAAATGTAACACTTTTAAAGTGAACATTTTTACAAAACCCTTCATCTTTAATATATAACTTTCTTAGCCACGTATTGACCACCAAAACTCTCACCCAGATAATCATCAAACTACATTCTGATATGATTGAGGAAAAAAACTTTTAAGTCAAGCTACAACACAGATGTTTATAGATTTAAAAATTGGCTAAACTGTAAAATAACACATATCTATAAATCTAAAGACTGTAGTGTTATTCATTAACTACTTCATCAAAGAGTGACTACCAATGCTTTATATTTTCAAATATGAATTGGGATTAAAAGGAAATTTTCATTTAAAGTGGTTCATGTTAACATTTTTTTTGTGACAAACTATGTCATTTGAACCATTTCTAGCTAGGTGATTCAGTAGCATTAATTATATTCACATTGTTGTGCAACCACCATCACTATCTGTTTCCAAATCTTTTCCATGGCCTCAAACACAAATGCTGTATCCATTAAACGGTAACTTTCTAAACCCTTCTTCCTCTAGGCCCAGTAAGCCCTAATCTTCTTTATGCCACTATTAGTTATTCCAGACATTTCATACTGGTAGATCAGTATCAATGTTTGTCCTTTTGTGTGTGGCTTATTTCATTTAAGTTAGTATATTCAAGGTCCATCCATGTTGTAGTATGTATCAGAACATCATTCCTTTTTATGGCGGAATAATATTCTACAATGTACACATATACCACTTGTATTTATCTATCTGTTGATGGACACTTGGGCTGTTTCCGTCTTTTGGCTATTGTGAATAATGATGCAATGTATACTGGTGTTCAAGTTCCTGTTTTCAATTCATTCTGGTATACCCCTAGGAGTACAATTGCTGGGTTGTATGGTAATTCAATATTTAATTTTGAGAAACTGCCAAAGTGTTTTCCATAGCAGCTACACCATTTTACATTTCCACCAGCAATTTATGAGGGCTCTAATTTCTCCATATCCTCATCCACATTTGTTATTTTCTGATTTTATGTTTTTTGATTACAGCCATCTTAGTAGGTATAAAGTGCTCTCATTGTGAGACTGATCTGCATTTCCCTGATTAGTAAGGATGTTGAGTGTCTTTTCATGGCCTATTTGGCCTTCTGTATTATTTTACATAGAGAAATGTCTGCGCAAGTCTTTTGTCCATTTGTCATTTGGGTTGTCTTTTTGTTGTTGACTTTTAGGAGTTCATTATATATTCTGGATAAAATGTTTATCAGATATATAATTTGTAAATACCTTACCCCTGGCTTATTATCTTTTTTATATGAAAATGATTTTAACCAACTTTCAGAGCTTTTCTTAATATCAAGTATACAACAGCTGGATGGGTGGATATACAAATATGCATGAATCCTTACCTCAAAAAACTTCTGTATAACATAGTTGCCAAAAACATCAGTCATTAATTGATAGGCTGCTTGCAGAATTTCATTAAATACCATCTGTCGCTCAGCTGGAGTAGCTCTCTCTAACTTTTGCTGTATGAATCTACATGGGGAAAAATTTTAGTATGACAATATGTTTTTTAACTCTTACTTGAGTATTATACCCTACCCTTCCACATATATGCACTGCAAGTTATTTCCAGAAATATTAACATACTTTATATAGTGGACAGCTAACTTACAGCAAAAAGGACAAAAGTTATATAGCATTTCTTTGTAACACTTTATCTACTAGAGTGACAAAAAACTTGGATTTTTATCTTTCCTAGGTTAGTTTGGTTACATTATAATCAATAAGAAAATTACATACATTTTGCTGCTTATTCATTCATTTTTTGTAATATACCAATGTATTACTAAACATCTAACTTTTAGAACATAATAAATGAAACCCTTAGAAGTAAAATTCTTCCAACATGAATGAATTCCTAACCAAGATAGCCATTCTGGGTGATACAAGGCTCATTTGTCACTCTGAAGGAACTGCCAACTAGTCATGCGTTGCTTAACGACATTTCAATTGACAATGAGCCACATATACAATGGTGGTCCCATAAGATTATAATGGAGATAAATTCCTATTGGGTAGGAACTGTCATAACATCATAGTACAATACATTACTCAGGTGTTCATGATGACATAACCCTACTGCACTGTCAGTTTATAAAATTATAGTATGGCTGGGTGCAAGTGGCTTACCCATGTTATCTCAGCACTCTGGGAGGCCGAGGTGGCTGGATCACCTGAGGTCAGGAGTTCGAGACCAGCCTGGCCAACATGGTGAAACCCTGTCTCTACCAAAAATATAAAGATTAGTCTGGCATGGTGGAAGATGCCTGTAAGCCCAGCTACTCAGGAGGTTGAGGCAGGAGAATCACTTGAACCCAGGAGGCAGAGGCTGCAGTGAGCCAAGATCATGCCATTGCACTCCAGTCTGGGTGACAGTGAGACTCCGTCTCCCAAAAAAAAAAAAAAAAAGTATAATACATACAATTGTGTACAGTGCATATCTGATAATAAACAACTGAGTTACTGGTTTGTGTATTTAGTATACTTTTTATTGTTATTTTAGAGCGTACTCCTTCTACTTGTTTAAAAAAAAAAAAAAAAAAAAGCAAAACACCCTCAGGTAGATCCTTCAGAAAGTATTCCAGAAAAAGGCACTGTTATCATAGGAGATGACAGCTCCATGGGTGTTGCTGCTACAGATCTCCTAGTGGAAGAAGACATGGAGTTAGAAGAGAGTGATACTGATGATCTTTACTCTTTATAGGCTAATGTGTGCATTTGTGTCTTAGTTCTTAACAAAAAGTTTAAAAAACCGATAAAAAGAAAAAGTCTCATAGAATAAGCATATAAAGGAAACATCTTTGTACGGCTGTACAATGTGTTTCTGTTCTAAGCTAAGTGTTATCACAAGAGTCAGTAAGTTAGCTCAAATGTTACAGTAAACTCAGCCTGGGCAACATAGTGAGACCCTGTCTCTAAAAAAAAATTTTAAGTAATTAGCCAGGTGTGATGGTGCATGCCTGCAGTCCCAGCTAGTCGGAAGGCTTAGCTGGGAGGACTGCTTGAGCCCAGGAGGTTGAGGCTGCAGTGAGTGATGATCATACCACTGTATTCCAGCCTGGGCAACAGAGTAAGACTCTGTCTCAAAGCGGGGAGAAGTTACATTAGGGTTAATTTATTATTGAAGAAAAAAAGTTTTAAATAAATTCAGTGTAGTTGAAGTGTACAGTACAGTGTTTATAAAGTCTAGAGGAGTGCAGAGTAACATCCTATGTCTTCGCATATACTCACAACTGACTCACACACTCACTCACTCACTCACTCATCCAGAGCAACTTCCAGTCCTGCAAGCTTCATTCACAGTAAGTGCCCTACACAGGTATATGATTTTTAAATCTTTTACACTATAGTTTTGCTGTATCTTTTCTATTGTTTATTATGCTTAGGTATACAAACACCATTGTTACAAACGCCTACATTATTTAGTACAGTAACATGCTGTACAGATTTGTAGCCTAGGCGCAATATACAGAGTAGGTGTGTAGTAGGTACACTCTGTAATGTTCACAGAACAACACATTTTCTAGAATGTATCCCCATCGTTAAGTGATGCATGACTATATAGAGAGACAAAATTTGTATGCCATCTAATCTAAAACGACTTAAAAACTTGAGGTTTACCTTAAAGCTATAAAAAGAGAAAATATCTTAAATTTATTAAACGTGTTACAATTCTATTTTCCTTTCTAAGCTATCTTGACAATGTTAATTCAGATGTATCTCTCATGTATCACATTCGTTTTAATGTAAAAAGGCACCAAATTTTCCTATAACAAATGTGAAATATTTCAACCTAAGCCAAGTCACACTGAATACCAACCTATAATGCAGCACAAAGGCATTTAACATTGCTTGCTGTATTTTTTAAACACACGAGGGTCACTTAAGCCCACAAATGTAATACAGAGCTGATGTAATCAAAATAACCCAATGAAGGGGGCCCTGCTATATTCTCATCATAACAATATTCACACTATAAAAAACCGGAAAACTATAAAAAATTAAAACCTGTATTTTTATAATTTATCCCAACATGAAAGAAAAAACATACAATCCAAACTGAATTTTAGCTCTTAAAAGCTGCCAATTTTAATGCAGACTGGGCTAAGGATAGTTCAGAAAAATTTAAGCTTTTATAAGGTAGCAGTTTCCAAAGCAAAAATGAAGTGAGAAATATCATAATCACCTACCTAGAACCATGCTGGTCTTGAGAAAACTCAACTATATGTCCAATCAAGTCTCTAAGTTGAAGGTTCGGGAAGCGGTTGTTTCTGAAATCTTCCAATAATCTACTGCGGCCAGAAGGCATAATATCAGACCTATTATACCGAAGCCGGGAAGGAGGAAAGAGCTGGCTGCTGGAGCTAAATAGACTGGAAGTGCTTGAAGCACTTCGATATTTTGCTTCTGCTCCAGGTGCTGCAGAGATATATCGACCACTACCATTTGTCAGTCCTCCTACAACAAAGCAGCTATGGTCAGCAAGTATTTTTGACAAGTTATTCCTCAAATAAAATTTACTTTAGCTACAAATTCAGTCAATAAAGAAATATTTCCCCCCACTAATTCCTACTTGTTATGAAAGAAAATTAAAATTGGGAGGGGAAAATCTCACCCATATACCTCATGTATGTGGCTATATGATAAAGAGACTAGAAAACATGAGAAAAATAAGTATTTGTTTTTCAGCAGCTTAGTTTAGAACTTAATTATATGATCTAGTGTCATATGCACTCTTATCAATGCCAGAACACTGAAACCACCAACACAATTTTCAGTTACATTAACAAGCAAGTTTAAATTGCTAGCAAACTTACATTTTAAGCCACTGAAATAGACTGAAATTCATTAACATTATTAACACAATAACACTGACTGTTAAATCTGTACTTTTTGCATTCGGTCATATATACTTCCATGTAAAGATAAATCAATTATTAGTTAAACCACGGATGGTATGAACTTTAAAAAGCCACAATATTAGGTAATAAATCTAAATTACACACTATTTTAAGATTTAAAATTTTTTATTTAAAATATTTGACATAAGGTCGGGCATGGTGGCTCATGCCTGTAATCCCAGCACTTTGGAAGGTCGAGGAGGGCGGATCATGAGGTCAGGAGTTCGAGACCAGCCTGGCCAACATGGTGAAACCCTGTCTTTACTAAAAATACAAAAATTACTCAGGTGTGGCGGCGGGCGCCTGTAATCCCAGCTAGTTGGGAGGCTGAGGCAGGAGAACTGCTTGAACTCAGGAGGCGGAGGTTGCAGTGAACCAAGATCACACCACTGCACTCCAGCCTGGGTGACACAGCAACACTCTGTCTCAAAAAAAAAAAAAAAAAAAAAAAAAAAAAAAATATATATATATATATATATAAAAAATGTATTTTAATTTTAATATATAGTTATATATGAGAATGACATAAAGCCACTATTTCACAAACCAGAGTATTAATCAACAGCAGTTATTATTCCTAGAGCCTTATCATTTACAAATGAATAAAAAACATCTTTAACTTATGTTCCATTCCAAGAAAGAAAATCAAAGAGCAGTCAATAGAAATAAAAATAAATACATGCAGGAAATTTTAAAAATTACAATTAACAGTTTAAAAGTACTTGACAGTGTCCTTTTAAAAAAGAAAAATGTATAGATAGTTGTAAAATACACATTAGTGGAGTTCAGAAAAACAAAATGCACTACCAGCATCATGCTATTATTATATGCAAACTCTATGCAGAGTAGTACTATATATACAATCCAGGCCACAGGGTAGAGATGGTCCCAAGGACACACTGTCAGTGCAAAGCTAAATGGAAATATTAGAGGTTGAAAAGAACTACAAGGACAGAGAGCAGTAAAATAGTCAAATCCTGGAGGGTAAATTGGGTTAGAACATTCCTCTTTCACTTTCTGCCCCTATTGTCCTAACTTTACTTTTCTTCATTGAACTTCCCATTACATAGCATAACATGCATTTATTTATTTGAATCCCCAGTACCATCTCCAATACAAGAGCCATAAAATTACATTAATCTACATGCTAGCTACCTGGTGCCTAGAACAATGTCTAGACCAGCCTGACCAACATGGTGAAACCCCATCTCTACTAAAAATACACAAAAAATTAGCCGGGCGTGGTGGCGTGCACCTGTAATCCCAGCTACTCAGGAGGCTGAGGCAGGAGAATCGCTTGAACCCGGGACACGGAGGTTGCAGTGAGCAGACTGTACCACCGCACTCCAGGCTGGGTACCAGAGCGAGACTGTCTCCAAAAAAAAAAAAAAAAAAGTATGTAATTTAACAAGCTATCTTACACACCAAAATCTCTAAGATCAAATTCTTGTTTGGTCTAGTTATATATAACTATCTCAGCACCCATTTATGATATTCAAAACGCTCAAGATTTCAGTGTTTCAATACGGTCTCAAGACTGCCAGTCTTTCCGCTTCCATTATTTGTTTACATATTTCCAACTGTTCATAATAACTGATCACTAGCCCATCTGATTCTTTATAATTGGGTCCTTATCACATCCTGCACAGCCACTGGGTTTTCTCTAGCATCCTTGTCCTTTCTGAAGGGCAGGGGTGCTTTGCTTATCATTTCAATCTGGTTAAAATTGTTTTTTCTTAATCAGCTGACTTTCAGATTCACCAATCCATTTTTATACACACCAACTGTATTTTTCCTTTCAAAGTCCATTTTGATGTCACTTTATGATAAAAAACCTACAGAATCCGGATACAGTATATACTCTAAGATCTTCAACCTAGTTTTCAAGTCATTACTCCAAACCTATTTTTCACACAAATTTCTTAGTAGTACCCTAACTGTTCATACCCCCCGCCCACTTACTCGTTACTATTTCTTATCATTACCTCAAACATACCCTTAATGCATTAAAGATTTTCGACACCAAATTCAAAACACATACTCACCCCAGGAAATGAAGAAGCCGGTTTTATTTGGTACCTTCCAAATATCCTGCCAATAAGCAACAGGAATTTCTCCCGTATCTAGGTATTCTTTGATTTAAATTCTATCAGCTCCTAACAACAGAACTCCTGTGCACATGGTTCACAATATCTATCTAATACTACACTGTCTTGAATTTTAAAAAACCTTAGACATTCAGTTCTACAAGACTAAGTGGCCTTCTCATGCACGAAATTCACAAATTTGGTGGCTCACGCCTATAATTCCAGCATTTTTGGGAGGCTGAGGCAGGCATATAGCTTGAGGTCAGGAGTTTGAGACCAGCTTGGGCAACATGGCAAAACCCCATCTCTACAAAAAATACAAAAATTAGCCAGGAGTGGTGGTGTGTGCCTGTAGTCCCAGCTACTTGGGGAGGGTGAGGTAGGGAGGATCACTTGAGCCTGGAAGGCAGAGGTTGCAGTGAGATGAGACTGTGCCACTGCACTCCAGCCTGGACAACAAAGCGAGACCTTGTCTCAAAAACAAAACAAAACAACAACCCCCACCTGCCCCCCCGCAAAACAAACAAACAAAAAAAGAAAAGAGAAAAAAAATATTATTCTCCAGAAACTAATTCACTTTCACCCAGGGAAGCATATCTTTTCTCTTATAAATAAGTAAGTATGTAAAACCCAATTTAAAACATACATTAGACATCTTAAATTTCGTTATCTAAATATTGAAAGCAGGTCATCTAAAATATCTGGAGATTGAGGGACATTCTATAAAACAGGCCTATACCCTTTAAAAATGTCAAGGTCATAAACAGAAATAGTTCAAGAAAAGAGCAGTGATGAAAGTAATCTGTGATCCTCAATTTGACAATGGACCCCCAAATCAATCTCCCTTTCTCTTTCTTATAAAGGTAATCAGTGAGGTAAGTAGCAAAGTTTGAATAAAGTTGGCTGCTTTGATTAGTGGTTTATCAGTGTTAATTTCCTGACTTTAGTAATTGTGGTTTTATATGAAAACATATACTTACTGTCAACAAACATACACTAATGTATTTCTGAGTAAGGGACATCATGCCTGCAACTTCCTTTTTTTTTGAGACAGGGTATCACTCTGTTGCCCAGGCTGGAGTGCAATGACGCAATCTTGGCTCACTGCAATCTCTGCTTCCTGGGTTCAAGCGATTCTCCTGCCTCAGCCTCATGAGTAGCTGGGATTACAGGTGCACACCACCATGCCTGGCTTGATTTTTGTATTTTTTTAGTAGAGACGGGGTTTCACCATGTTGGCTAGACTGGTCTCAAACTCCTGACCTCAAGTGATCCGCCCACCTTGGCCTCCAAAAGTGCTGAGATTACAGAGGTGAGCCACCATGCCGGCCCACCTGCAACCTCCTTTCAAAAGTAAGCCCAAATAGTGTTGTGGATGAGGGGAAGAAGACAGGGAGAGAGAATCATACAGCCAATGTGATAAAAGTGGCAACATCTGGAAAACGTGGGTGAAGGGTATAGTTTTGCAATTTTCCCATTAGTTTCAAATTATCCCAGAAATAGTTAAAAACACACACACAAACAGATCATCATATTCATACTTCTGCTGCTGGTAGTCTAAAAGCAGTTATCTTCTTCACCAAAAGTATTAAAGAGATAAGGTCTTTTCATTTCATCATTCAGTCCCCACTACCATTCATGACTGTTTAATCACTATCTGCCTAAGAGTGTATATAGGACATGTAGATCAGTACTATAATTTCACAGATGAGGTCACTATGGTCCAATGGTCCAAAAGGTATGGGACATGCAGCTAGTCAGCCAAGACCCTTAGGCCAGAGCTTATCTCACATGACAGTGAGCCAATCTTCTGTGCTATTTACATCTTTCATGTTCATTCATGAGAAGTTTAAAATAAAGGCAAACACAATTTTATTAGTAGAAATAACATGACTTTACAGGTTTTCATAATTTCTGAGAAGTCTGTTTTAGAATCCTTCCCTATTAAGTATCACAAGTCAAAGAGTATTAAAAAATACAGTTGTCTTTCAGTATGCATGGGGGATTGGTTCCAGGACGCACACAAAATACCAAAAATCTGTGGAAGCTGAACTCCAGCAGTTTGGCCCTATGTCACCTATGGATATGAACGGCAAGACCTCCGTATCTACAGGTTCCGCCTCCTAACCAAGGATGCAGAATCTGTGGAGATAAGGCAGGTCCTCTGCGGGGCAGGGGGTAGTGGGAGAGACTGTAAGTGAAATAACCACAAAATAATTAAATCTATCTAGCCTTCATTTTTCATTGTTTTCTACCCTCTGGGATTGGAAAGACAGCTACTCAATCTATCAGGCCTGTATATTCTTCTAAGAATAGAGATTCCTGACCCTTACTTAAAACATACATAATTACTCCTTCTGGATAAATTAAAAAAAAAAAAATCTACCTGAAAGATATTCTGATAGAAGAGTATGGGGACTAATTAATTAGAATAAAAATAATTTAATGTTTCATTTTACAACAGATTTTC